AAAGTAGAGTTTGACGATCAGTGGATATCAGATTCACGCCTCGGCCTGATCGGTCATTTACGAAACCACTGCACTATGACTGGCAAACCACTGCCAGGAGTCTCGATATACATTCGCCACACCCGTCTCCACTCTCCACGCATACCCACTCACCGCAAGAGACCTACTCGGCGACATGCGCCTCCATGCGAAGCAGCGTCACAGCGTTTACTCAATAGCGTATGAAAAATTTCACTCAGTGAATTAGGGGTTCTTGTCTTCTCCGCTGTGCCGGCCGCAGACGTTAACCATACTTCGCAAGAGGGGGATTCTTTGGTCCTTCACGCAAGACCACATTCCTGCGTACTTCTAAAACCACCGCTAAGGTTGATGTTTAAATAAGGAGATACAACAGCCACTACAAATGTGGCCAGCATTCCGTATGAAATTCTTGGAACCTTGGCTGCAGGAGTTCGAGTGTGTGCGACGTCTGCGGCGACTGGGTATGCAATCGCACCCCGAGATGCTGGCATTTGTTATGGTGCGCATTCGCGATAACGCCTGCCAGGATCCGATATGGCCCCCATGTTGGCCCAGCGCATCTTCCACGTGGCCCGTTTGGGAAACTTTGTTGTCCACTTAAGTTGTTAGAAACCGACACGCGGAATGAGTGATGGAACGTTGAGGGCGTAAATGCAAATGTCAGACGACATGCATTGCCATTATCAAAATCTGAAGCCAAATGTATTTTTCTGTGATAGGTTCTACCCTATGTGTAGAAAGGAAGGGGACAGACTGATGCACACCTCTCGACCATGAAATGGTCGGTGTGTCACAGTATCGTCTGAGCCTCTTTTCACATCGTCTTCGGTTGAGACAATGGAGGGAGGGTACTGTGACAGTGCATCAACTGCTCAAAGTTCACAGGCGTCAGTGCCGGCGCTCCAGTATGCGTGTCCAATCACCATTTTCAGACGGACCGATTGATGTGATCTGGACGTCTCAGCGTCTGGAGCTGCGCCGACCAACGAGACTGATTGGCATGGGCTCGGCAACTGCGTTTCGGTAAACGCCCGCAATAGCTGTGCCTACGGTCGCTGACCAGTGGGATTCGACTTCCTCCAGCCGGGCGT